TAATAATAATAATAATGGTACTTTCTCAGTTCACATAAGATTTCTTACTGCACAGAATGTGGCTGTACTGGCACAGGACCTGGGCAAAAGCTCCAGACCTTGCTTGACTAAATGAGATCACAAGGCCCCACCCCACAGTCAGTTCAGGTTTCAACCCTGAAATCACTGTGAACAGGATGCTGCTAACCTGGCAACCCTAATAAGGCCCACACGTGGTCCTTCCTCACTCAAATCACAGGCTGAGGCCTAATTATCTGCTGCAGGCTGAGCAGTTTATATGCTTGGAGTGTTATCATGGCAGCATTTTTAAAAGTACCCAAATTATGAATGTTGAAAATGAACAATTCAGCAAATGACCGAATCACATGACTTGCTATGGAAGGAGCCTCATCAAGTCTCACTGGTTCTTCTTCTTCTATCATAAATTTTACCTTCTTGATGCGCAGCAGTCGGACATCTTTCTCCATAATCTGGTCAGGTGTAAACTGTCAGAATTAAGGAAATACCAATAAATCATCTTCTTTGGCTCACACACGAAAAGTGAAATACATAATGAGAAGGATACAATTATAATAACAGAATCCAAGCTCTTCTAGTTTAGTTTCCACAGAAGACATCATTCAACCGGCCTAACTGTTGAGTTTATTGTACGGCCATAGACCCGAAAATACGATAAAAACATTATATAAAATATACAAAATAAGTAAGATATTATAAGATAACAGGATATATAAAATTTGAATCAGCCTAATATTTTCTGCCTTAGCTCAGATAACTGAAAATTCCACCAAGGTCAAGGACAGTTTCAGAGATGTTTCACAGGCAAAAGTTATCAAAGGAGTTAAATTTCACATTTCTTCTTACCATTGTGTAGGGGTCAAAATCTTCTACATATTTTTGGAAGCCCTGAAAATAAAACTGATAATCAAATCCCATGCAGCAAATAATAAGGAAGAACACTTTCATGAGTCAAGCTAGAAATGAAGTGAGATGAAGACACATCATAGTTTTCAAAGAAGTAGCATGTTCCTCTATGCAACCTGATCCAGACAAAACCAAAAGCTTATCTTTTATGTGTTTTATTTGATTTTTGGTTTTGTCTAGATACACATTGCACAGTTCAGTCATGTTCCTCCTGACAGTCAGAAGACATTTAAAGACCTCAGAATATCAACACCTTTGAACCAACAGTCAAATCGATTAGTGGGAGATTTACTAAATCTAGCGAGCCTCCTTCAGACTGTGTTGTTCACAATTTATATTGACAATGAAGATCAAATGCAAATTAAAGAAACTATCATGTGCAATACTGATAGCTAACGTACGGCAGCATGGAGGGACAGGTCAGATGGAACTAGAATGACAGATGACATGAGGTCAGCGAATTTAAGTATTTGAATGGAGTGAAAGACAGGAAGGAAGGAAGGAAGGAAGGAAGGAAGGAAGGAAGGAAGGAAGGAGTTGCTGGCTGGGGAGTTGTAGCCCAAGAATACTTGGGTTTCCCGAGGTTGAGAAGCGCTACTCTAGACGACTCCAGTTAAGGGATGAGACTAGTATTTATTTATGTGTTGCCATTTTACCCTGCCTTTTCTCCAGGGAGGTTAAAGTGGTGTATCTGGTTTTCTTCATCCCCCTATTTCTGAAAACAATGTTTTCAGCTAGGTCAGGTTCAGAGAGAGATTGATTCAAGGTCACTCGGTGGCTTTCATGGCTGAGAGAAGATCTGAATCCAGATCTCCTAATTTGTAGTTTCACTACTCCCAATCATATACATGTGGCTTGATGGCTCTTAATCTAGTGTATTCTTAGTTGAAATCCCCCTGCCAGTTTCATTAATATTCAATGAATTAGAAATCATATACTACAAGACATGTGCAAACGTGTTTTTGGACTACAATTCCCAAAATTCCTTGAGGAACATGGAGAATCTGTACACCTTTAACAACAATAGACTTACTAATCTGTATTAAACACAATGGCTTGCTTAATTTTAGTGTAGTTCAGCATGACAAATTGTCTTTATTTCATGCACACACACTTCCTGTTTTTGTGTGGCCTGAATGTAAATTTTTGGTTTCTGATCTCAGCAGCTCAATAGCTGTTACTTTGGAAATGAGCATAAATACAAAACACTCTGTTTGTAAATACCACAGTTAGTTTTACAGCACAATTTATTATGTTAATTATGATGACATAAAATATTCTGTAAAAAAGCCTAAATTAATGGCATCTGCTCCACATCTCACTACAAGAATTTCAGCACGTACTTTAGAACAGGGAGTTGCAATTAGAGCAGAGTCACTAATTCTTTAAGTGATTTAATGCAACTCGCTTGATCTTTCTTAGGCTTGAGGTCATTTTCACAACAAACAGATGTTATCCCTGAAGAATATTTTCCTGGGAAAAATATGTTTTAAAAAAGAACAAACACAATACCTTTAAACAAACATGACCTAGATCCAATAAGCAAACATTTGCTGCTTTATCATAAAACACTCTGAAATCTATTTTGCATTTTCGGGAAAAGTGGCAGACTTTTAAAGTTAATTATTGGATTACAGTTCCCAGAATTCACCAGTAAGCATGGCCCATTCTGGGAGTTATAAGGTAAAGAAATACTCCCCCACCCAAGTTCTCTCAATTTTATGTAACAGCACAGAGAAATACTTGTTTAAAATGTGAATCACTTAATTAGTATATTTATGTCCTACAATAAATACAATCATACCACCACCTTAATATCTCAAATTTTTAGTAGGCAATTATTTATGGAAAATATTTTAATATGCTCCTTGACCATCCTAAGGTGAAGAACATGGTGGATATGAATCTCTATACTTTTCAACTTTACACTTTTATGCCATTTGAGGGAAAATTTCTAAACATTTTTAAAGCCTTCCCAAATTATGTCTTTCACAGCTTTTCAAAATCTTATTTGAAAAGTTTCATTTTTGGTGGTCTCTTGTGTAGTCAAGTTTGAAATGTTATCTTTGCTCCCTTTAATTTGTTCATCCCACACATGTAACTGTGTAAACACTAAAAGAGCCTGGTGCTTAAGTTTTCATGGACAAGGTATTTTAGATTGCTCTTGAAAAAGTTAAGAAGGCTAGGCTTTAGGTCTCTGGCTGCAGAGCCAGAGGTTGGGAGTTCAATTCCCCACTGTACCTCCTGTAGAGGGGCTGGACTTGATGATCCATAAGGTCTCTCCCAGGTCTCCAGTTCAAAGGTTATTATTAAAACAATGCATTACAGATACCATGTTATTATATCAGCTAAATCTTTAATCCTGAAAGCCAACAAATTTTCACAGCATGAGCTTTTCATACCTCCCACAGTTTGCAAATAAATTTTATGTGGTTGTTGTGGGTTTTTCGGGCTCTTTTATGTGCTTTCTGAATTACTCACCAGTAGAGATCTGTATGAATCAGAAAAATTGTAATTTGTTTTGATTTGTGATTCATCAAGATCAATGAATCTCTAATCATGAATTTATTTATTTTCTGACAAATCGATGAATCAGTTCATCAATTTCCTTTTTTTTTTTACTTTAAATCCCTGTAAAATGTTTTCCCAAGGACCTAGAGATACCAAAATCGCAAAGTCTCTTCCCCTGACTCTCTCCTACAAGCCTTGCCTGTTTGGTAATGTTTGAGTTTCAAATGTCCATGTTATACATCCATAAGAAGGGTCACCGCAGGAAAGTCCCCCCCCCCAGGGACCTAGAGATACCAATATAAGAGAAGCTTCTACCAGCGCTCCTCTACAATCTCTCCAAGATTAGTGAAGATTGGGTTTCAGACATCCAAGCTACACACCCACAAAGTGGCCTTTAGCAGCTGACTTGGAGAAATCCAATCTTCACTAAACTTGAATGGATTGTAGAGGAGAGTCAGAGGAAGCTTTCCTGTGATTTTGGTGTCTCTAGGTATCTGGGGTGTGTGTGTTATAGCGCAACAAATCAAAAATTGCTAAAATTAATTGATTCATATTCATTGTGGACATTAATTTGTACAAATACAAATTGATGAATTAGCAATATTTGAATGAATTTGGTGATTCGATTTTTAATTCATGCCCATCTCTAGTCATCAGGAGTTAACCATGGGCCTCTAGCTCTTGCATTTTCTGCAGCATTTGGTGGGAGAATCAGGGATTCTCTTGAACTGCCCTTGACATTCTAACATTGCCTTTTTTCCTGTTCCACCAGAGCACCGACAAGAAAGGAAGGATGATGGTGAAAGGGTTCATCACTGCCAGAAGGATTGTCAGGCCTCCTCTCCATTGAGATCTGCAATATTTTAAGGCCCCTGAATTGCAGTGCAACCTAATGATGCTTGTCAGCAGTGAAAATCAGCAAAATATACACAGGTAAGTACTGTACTGGCAGAACACCATGCAACATGTGTCAACATGTTATAAATGCTTCAAGTCATGTCTTGTTGTTCTTTGTGAGTGAGATGAATAAAAACATCTAATTCTGTGAAAGTATTAATACTTCATTTTGTGATAAAGTGCTATATATAGAATATTTGACACCATTTAATAGAACTAGCAAAACACTGCCTTCCTGACAAACTCAAAAGTCTGTAAAAATGTTTCTGAATAGTGATTCCTTTTGTGAATCACTATCTTTGTACTCCCTGCAAGGGATTAGACATTCCAAGAATCTGCTACTTCTACTGCCTCAGCTTCTTCTGTTGCATGTAAGGCTCATGGGCTGGTAAGGGGGTGCAAGAAACAGCAGTACCCCCTCAAAGGGTCAGGATGAGGGCATCCTCCTCTAAGTCTATGGCTCCTTCCTGCACCCCTTTCCCTGCCCGCAAGCCTCACATCACATACATCAAGGACTTCTTTTATTCAGTCCTTCTAACAAAGAATCAAACAGGAGTCTTTGCTTTCCTTGGTGCCACCTTCAATTCTTTGTGATACAAATAAGTACAGGCATTTATGAGCCTTGGAAAACCTCAGCACAGAAACACCACACTCTTGACAATATGCTAAAAATAGTAGAGAAGAGAAACCAGCTCAAGGTAAAACCAAAAATAGTAGTTTCTGGAATCCATAATGGATATTAATTTCACTACCCTCAGTAACAGCATTACTGATCTGAAAATTTATTTGTTCATGCAACTCCTTTTTCTTGATCATTTTTGCTCATTGTGGGTAACTCAATAGGCATGTTTTAAATACGTACAGACCGTGTATTAAAATGTAATATTGTTTTCCATTTTCTCAGAAGGCTAATGAGAATCACATGGATTCAACAAGGCCATTTAAGCTTGATTTGTCCTGCATCTATAGTCCAAACAACATGCAAAAGCAGAAAAGGAAGACAGAAAAGTCTAATGTCAAACACAACTGAAAAGTTAAAAAAGACACTAAGCACTAAGGGGATATAAATTATTGTTTTTACTTGTTTTTTGTTAGTTTTAAATGATGAATTGTAAACCACCATCCTTTTAAACATCTCTTGAGGCTGAAAGAAAAGAACAAATGGCCAAACTAGCAATTAGTTCTTTATATAAGCACATGACAATTAATGACCTTTATAAAGGAAAAAAAATCCTTTCAACTTTCTAAAGTTCTCTGTAGTTACCGGTACTGAATTGAGGCTGAAATTATTAAACATATTTCTAGGATCAAATGAAAACTTTCTTTCCGTCAACTTCATGCTCAGTCTTGAGCATCATAAGTACTGAGACTTCCGAGGAGTACTTCAGGACCCCTTCGTGATACACTTAAATAATGGAGTGCTGCACTGCAACAGCAACACCCAACAACATTCTTGCCTATTAAGCATTTAAGGTATTCAACATTTTCTTCTTCATTGCTCCCTTGTTTCACCTTTTAGCTTTTCTTTCATATTGAGTTCTACCTGTACAGGTAACACAGAAAAACCCAAACCC